GGGTGGTTACAGCGCCATAAGGTGTTAAGATGCATCTGAGCAATGGCGCTTTAAGTTTTGCACCAGCCAAAGTCATACAAATCCACTTAACTCATTTACTTATGCTCTTTAAAATGTTGTACAGGTATTCTTAGCTGTCTAAGAAAAACATTTAGGCCATTTACACTAATATTTTCTGACTTTAATTTGCTAAAGAGAAATGAGAGCTAATTTACTTTGCTAAAGTATTAAGTTCACGTAACGTATCTTTTTTAAGTACGGCACATTAAAAATGAGTACATTTCTACCAACATATTTGCGTGAAGAAGCATAAAAAATCTCTCCTAACACGTGCCAGACTCCAAAAAAAATGTTAGCTTAACTCCAATATAACGCAGTCTGGGCACAAACACACATCTTCGCTCACGACGGGCCCGTTAATCAGTCCAAAGTGAGCTGAGACTGAGTGACTGTGTTTAAAAGATGTCAGACTGACAGCCGGTGATAGGCGGTGGTACCTGTGTTTCTGATGTGGAAGAATAGAAACACCAAATGCCTCTGTAGCTCCGTCCTCCAGTTAATACTCATGCTGAATACTACTTCCAGCAACAAGCTGTGTCCTTGTACTGCTATAAGTTTTTAATGAGTGCGGCTGCTCCCAACAGAGCTCATCGGCCCAACCTTGGCCCGACTAGTTCGCCAACATTATCCTTGACATTTTAGAAATGTTTTTGTAAAGGGCAGTAAAATTAGTATAACAGCAGGGTGTCGATTGAACTGATCTCACTAACTCAAACTGAATAGTTTGCAGATGGCTTATTGAAAGTTTGTGACAATGCTACAACGGGGCTATTAGAAGATGAAACAACAGAACCTGGACATACTGTAACTCACAAATACTAGCACTCAACCTGTTCAGCCTGTGGCTCATCAGCTTCTTCCCTCTGTCATTTTCTCTCCTATGGAGATGCACAAACTTTCCAGCTCAATCTTTCCTCCTAGCCAAAAGTCCTTTTCTCCTTAGTGCCCAGCCTCACATGCTTCTCCCTCTATCCAGAGGATACAACAAACACATTCATGGCAGTTTCTTTCACCGCATCAGCTGGCAACTCCTTCCTACCACTCAGAGCTTGTCTCAAGTCCTTCCTGGACTCTTGCACAACATTCTTCCCTCTTCAGCTTCCACCATTTAATCCTTAACGTCTGCCTTCACCTCCTTCCTCTTCTTCTGAATACATCCTACAGACTATCATTAAATGTTGCCTAGCTACAGTCTTCCCTTGACACCACCGTGGAGTCTCCTTTTTCAGAATGCACCTTCTGCATAGGATGTAGCCCACCTGTGTGTCACCCTGTGTTCCTCCTGGTTCTTGAATTAATCAAAAGATCAAACTAATCTATATTAATCTTATACTTGGGGACTTGGGGAATCCACATAGTTCATCATTTTTCTGAAACAAGCTATGCTTTCCCTGCTCCCTTTAAACCTTACTTACTAAACTTGGTAGTTTTCTCTCTGTCTTGTTTTCATCGACAACATTATTATGGAGCACAAAAAAATAAATGCTCACCAGAAACTTCATTAGTTATAGTCTGACCTGGTGCTCACACACACAAACGACACCCTTTTTGGCTCCTACCTCAAAGCACACTGTGCGCTGTCGATCTTACGTGCTGCACAATAATGTTTAATATTTAGTATTTACTGTTATATTCCCATATATCATCGTGATGTTGTTTATTCTATTACTCTCGTTTTCTTTTGCTTGTTTTCTTTTTTCTTTCTCAACAGGTGATCCAGGTGATTGATATATGTATTTTTTGTGTCTGCTTATTTAGTTGGTTTTTGTTTTTGTGCCCTTTATCTCCATCCCTCTTCTCCGCTGTTTTTCCCCCTCTTCCTTTCTCCCTTTTCTTTTCCTCATTCAAGTCTGTCCCGTATCTAGCAAGTGAAAATAAAAAAATAAATAAAATAAACAATAAAAGGTGAATCAAATAGACCATTACGACAAGGCTGGGATGGTCAATTTGGTAAAGTAAATCCGTTGGGCATCTTTCCTCGCCTTTATTCAATAATTCTGATGGCAAAAGAACCAAACGGGACAGGCAAAAAAAAAAAAAAAAAAAGTTATAGTCTGACCCAATTCTCTGGGTGGTCCAAAGACATGCATGGGGTTTGGTTATCTGGTGATTCTAAATTGGCCATAGGCATGAATGCGAGTGTTAATGGCTGTCTGTCTCTGTATTAGCCCTGTGACAGACTGGTAACCTGTCCAGGGTACACTCTGCCTCTCGCCCTATGGCAGCTGGAATAGACTAAATCCAGACTTGGATTTTTACAGTAATTCCCATGTAAAACACACAGCACCAAGTAGATCACTCAGCCCACTCAGCCCATAGATGAAGGGTTACATAAAACCCTACTGTAAACATAATGGATACTGTTATGACGACTGTCATTTACTTTGTGCAGTGTTTAAATGCAGAACTGAGACGGCAAAACAGCAGAAAGACGAACTGAAGTCGAGGCAGAAGCGAACTGTCATGCCGAGTAAATCACAACAGGTAAGCACATCCAGCATATCTCGCTATCACTCACATTACTGATAAGCTTTTATCGTCTTGCCTTGACTCCTTTCCTTTTCTGTCTTACACAGCCATTGATTTGTTTTTCCACACTCTTGCTCTGTCTCTCTCCTTCCGCAGCTCCTGTTGTTTCCCTCCTTTATTGGATCTCCTCATCTCCTCTCCTGCTGCTCCATCTTTCATGCATCTCTCCTCTTTCCGACAGACACAGAGACTATTTCTCTTCCTCTGCCACCCAGGGACAGAGTCTTCACAAGGTTAGATATTTTAAATCAGATAGACTAGCACTGCCGGAGTAGTAAGTGTCCAAAACGGGTCAAAATTAGAGAGCTCCTTTAAATGATGTTGAACAGAAATACCTCACATTTAAAAGTCTAAAGCTTCAAACACACTTGGAAAAGAGCTCATAAATCATTGGAGTCACCCAAAAATAAAAAAATAATAACGATAAAAAACAAAATTGGATGATGAAATATTTTAGGCTTATGTTTTGTTCACATTACGTCTGATCCACCACAAACAGAAAGAGAAACAAAACAAAAACAAAACAGAAGAAAATTAATAGATGGATGAACAAACGGTACAAAGCATTTAGTTAATTAAAAACTGGCATCAAAAATAACCTATTATGCTCTTGCTCTTGAAAAATGTGTATTTTTAGCTTTAAACCTTAAACGAGCACTCTTTCAATTGGCTGCCCCTAAAAAACAAAAGCGATGGAAACCTGCAGATCCTGGAGTAAAAAAGTTTTCAGAAATCGAGCACTGAAATCAGTCTGATGCTCAGACAGACAATAAAGAAAGCATAGTGGATCCACTCAAGTGTTGTGGTAGTGGGGTGTGGTTTGCGGCTCAGCTGTGGGAGGACAGAGGGGGCGGGTGGTTCAGGGAGCACTGCTAGGGGATGCTGCGTGGAACACCTGTTACATAACGTCCAATCAGCCTCCTCTATTCATGCAGTAGCACGTTGGGACCAGGTGGAGGAGCTACAGTGAGGAGGAGAGTTGACGGCAGCTGAAAATTCAGTATCGAGGCACAACGCCCAATCCGAGCACTGCGCAACAAATAAAGAGCACAGCAACTTGTGTCTGTGTGTGGTGTTAGGAAGGTGGTTCTCACCTGCTCCTATGCAGCATCCCCTTTTTTCTGATAGAAAAACATTTCAAAGTAGCAATTTCCTACAAAACGTTCAGCATGCATACAAATCATAGTCTTGCTATTCTTTAAATGAAGCGATTACCTGCCTAAAGTGTGTACTTCAGCTCAAACCACTAAGGTACAGTGCATCTGATCGAATGTGCCTGCAGTGAGTGAGAGAGTGAGAGGGTAAAGCTGGGTTAAGGCCTGGAGGAACCCGCTGTAGCCCTGCCTACTCAGCACAAAGCCTCTCTCGCTGTCTCAGTCTCTTTGTAGAGAGGGTGATCAAAGTGTGGAGCGCGCTCAGAGGATTCACAAAGTCAGGAAGCTTCTGAGCGGATGAACACGGACATCCCATTATGTTTCCAAGTAGGGTATCAAGGGACGCGACGGTGCACGCATCCTCAAGCGCGTGAGCGTGAGCTCGCTCGAGCATCTGCCCTCCAGACCTAAAGGTTTGATTCTGTGCACGATTAAAAAATACTCGGGGAAAATGAAAGATGATTGCGTTTTCGAAGCATCGGAGTGTGCTAACTGTCTGCAGCTTTGATCCGTAATGAGGAAGGTAGGGTAAGATTCGGCAGCGCTGCCTGTTATTTCAGATGAGAATCAGAGGATCAAAGGCTTTTTCTCTCCTCATCCTTCCCTCTCTCGGACTGCCTGTGTGTCTCTGCTTTGCCTGAAGTGTCCTTGGTTCACCACTGGCCTGTCCACACCCCCCTGAAAATGCAGAGAACCCGTCAAAGGCTCTTCAACATAAACTTGTCCACTCTTCTGTGGCAGGATGGAGTTATTTCCTGTCACAGAAGACAAGCTGTAGGACTGCAGCTTCACAAATACTGTAGATGACCTCTGACCTCCCTGAGGATGAAGGATAAAGCTCAAATATTTTCTTACAGACATCGACATTTGTGCCGTGCAGTCCATAGATGTTTGGAACAGCTTTACAGGTTCTTTCCTGCCGCTCTCCCTTCAATGCTTGAACTAATAAGCAGTAAGAAAACTGACTCTGAGACAATTTCAGTTTTCTGAAGACAACTCTATCTTCTGTTTGTTCATCTACATAATAGATTTGCTTAATTCCGGCAGCAAATTAGATGAGAATGATGAGGCTTTGTACCAACAATCTGGGCTTTACTTTTGGATTTGGGGAATTTCCTTTGAGTCACTGGCTTTAAAGCTTTTTTTAAGACTGCAAATTACTTTAGCGATGAAGTCACTACACATACTTTGGAGTGTGTATGTGTGAGCGTGTACAACAAAGTGTGAGACCCACACATGTAAGATTTTTACGCTTACCTCATTCTCTGAGTCACGTATCTGCAGATGGGAAGTGTATGCGAAGGTATTCTCTGGAGCGACAGTCGGCCTGCGGAGGAGGAGGGGGAGGATGAGGATGAAGTGAGAAAAAATGAGATTCCACATTTAACACAATGTCCCAAACTGTGGAGCTGCGATCCGAGGTGAGCAGGAACGCCCTCACACCCCGAAGTCATTCCTCAGAAGTTTGAAGTTAAAATTAAGTGCCTCGATGCTGACTTTGTACAAATCTCTTCTGTTTGCTACCAAATCTGGCAAACAAGCCAAATGATACAGCAACTGTTTGCACATACGTTTCCGAGGCAGCATCCTCAAACATCATTAGATTTCAGAAATTTAGTTTTGGGTGAATTAAAATCTCCAATTCTTAAATAGCAGCTCTGACTAAACTAACAGAAGAGACGACACGTGCAATATGATCAAGGGGCCAAAAACTTCCCCAGTTTGTTACTTTGGGATATCTTATATTTAAATATGTAAATGAGACACGATCTATTATCTGACACCACAAAGTGCAGGCTTGCCTATGCTTCCTTCCTTTCTTTCCTTTGGAATCAGCTCAGAGTTTGGGTTTAGGATACAAACACTCCCTACTTGGAAAACCAGGCTTGGTTAACGCTTCTATTTTCTGTCATTTACTTGTGTCTACTCTCCTGTACTTTCTGTTTTTTGTTCATGGCCTTTCTTTGCCCCTCTTTTCTGTCTTCTCTTTCCTCTCCCTGCGCCTGGTTCTGCCAGAGGTCTCTTCCTTTTAAACGGGGGTTCTTCCTCGCTTTCATGAACAAGCGCTTGCTCAGATGGGATCAGGAGATCATTGGGGTTTTCTCTTTAATAGAGTCTTTGCTGCTGACATTATAGAATACCTTGAGATGACTGCTAAGGGGAACTGGTGCTACATAAAGAAAATTGATTTGACCTTGCTGTGGGTCGGGGGGGTTTAAAGTTTGATGTTTTTATAACACTTAAATGTACACACACACGTCCTTGACACATTTTTCTCTAATACTCTGCAGGAAAACATGTTATTTCAGAACAGCCACAGTCTCAATGTGAGACGATACCAAAACAAAATATGTAACAGGTGAAAATGAGTTCATGAGGTAAGGTTTAACATTCACGTTTTTTCAAGCATCTTGGTATATTCATCAGATTATTGGTTTATTTGTTTTGCACTTGCATAAATTTCCTTCCAAAAACTGACTTGAACCTTTTTTACATTTGTGTGTTTTGTGGATATACAAATAAATCAATCCCACACTGGAAGAATAGCAGTGTTACCTGACATAACAGCAAAAAGTACAAAAATAAATAAAGAAAAGATAAAAAAAAATAAACCTCAGTTTGATCGTTTTTGGTTAATTTGTGACTTCTTTCCAACACATCAAACAGAAGTTACACTCACCAGCGTTTGATCAACGCTTTGATTCAGTGAGGCTGTTTCAGTTCATTACGCCACACTGATGTGAAACACTTGCGGGATAGCGGTGGAGTGTGGGTGTGTTGAGGGAGACGAGCACTTTTAAATCAAAAGTGAAGCTGCAGTGTGAGACAAACAAAAATGAAAAATAAAATAAATACACTTGACAAAATGTAAATCATCATGTTTCTCCCAGTGCAACATGCTTACCATAAAGCTGGGATTTTCTTAAGACTGGAAAACTAATAACTGGATCACCTCTATCACTCTGCTGAATACTTCTCATGCTGCCTAAGGCTACACTTAAAGGCATTTTAGCCATCGGCACTCTCATCTAATCTGAATGTGGTGACGTCACATTTCCAAACTGAATCATGGATCTCGTTGAAAGACGATCGTTGAAAGTTCTCACAAAGTCATCCAGCCACTCTGACGGAGCTGTGTGTTCAGACTGTGGTTGGAAAAGAAGGAGCTGATCACATTGGTGAACCGGTAGCACTACTGAACCACTACTACTGCACTACTGGGCTCCAGTTTCATCTGCCAGGTTCCTGTAGGACACTCCCACAAAAGACGTTCTTTTTCTCAAGTGTTAGATAAAGATAACCCTTTATATGTGAACAGACACCGAGTGTAGCTCATGTTAACAGCTCACAGATGGTTTATTAGCATGGATGTACGCAGCGTCCAGCTGTGAACAGTGAAGCCAATGAGGAAGCGCTTTAAACCTGCATCCTTTTTCATAAGAACTTAGCACTTAATTTATTGTCATGTGTAAAGTTGCCTGCACAACTAAATTAGGTAGCAAAACCACAAAGGTGCAAGAAAGTGACAAATTTCAAAACAACAATATAAAAACACTATAAACACAATATATATACCGTAATTGTCGGGCTATAAGCCGCTACTTTTTGCACAAGCTTTGAACCCTGCGGCTTTTAGTCAGGTGCAGCTTTTCTATGGATTGTCCATGATTTTTGTCATATCGTAAGACGATTTGTTTTGTTTGTTCCGCTGTTGTACGGCACTACGTTGCCTGGCGGAAGGGCATGTCCATCCGGCAGGCAACGTAGTGCCGTACGAAGTAGCGTGAAAAACAAACTTCAAAATAGAGCTACGCGTTCAGCGGGAGGCGTGGATGACGAGCGGCGATAAACTTGCGAAAAGCAAGTTATGCTCAACTCCACCGGTGGATTCTGACAGCGTGGAAAAGTGTGAAAACATCCACGATCACCAACGGATTTTGAAGGGCTGGACTGCTGCATGATGGAGACGAGGACACCGCCACGGCCCTTCTGAGGGTGTTCGACTCTGACACTGACAACGAGGATTTGTTTGGTTTTGAAAGTGACAACGAAGGAGAGAAGCTGAGAGTGGATGACGAAGCCATCCTGAGCCTGTTCGTATCCGACACTACAGAAGAGGACTTTGGTGGTTTTAGTGCGCAGGAAGAAGAGAAAGATGGTGGTGAATGACTGACTTTTCTTCTTGTTAAAGCCGTGTCACTGCACCTGAGCCTAAAAGGTAGTCCGAAACTATTTTTCTGGTGTGCTGTAGGTTATTGTGATGTACTACATTTGTTACTCGTTTATGAAGCACAGTACATGTTTTGTACTTGTAATTACCGCTGCTTGTACATATACCTAAAAAGTTATGCAAATATGTGCCCGTAACTTGTTTTTCAAAATATTAATAAAAGGGGTGTGTCTCCAAACAGCCATCTCTTTCCTGACAATTCCCTTTGTGCATATTCTCTTACATATGATAAGTCAACATTGAAACACCTGCGGCTTTTAGTCAGGTGCGGCTAATGTATGTACAAAACAGGATTTTCCCCTGATTTTAGCTTGTGCGGCTAATATTCAGGTGCGCTTTGTAGTCCGGGAAATACGGTATACACTTTATACAATGTATAAGTTACCAAAGAAAAATTGGGATTATTGCACATTTGCCAAGATATTGCACAGAATAACTGTATGGGGGTCTGCTCACGCGTACACCCACATCCACCCACGCTGACATACACACACTCAGGTTACCATAAGTTCAAAGGGGAAGGCCACAGGTTTGTCAGTGTTCTGGTGCATTGAGTGTTCTGACAGCCCAAAGGTAGAAGCTGTTATTGTCTGTTGGTTGGATCAGAACCTTTTTCCAGAGGGCAGGATGTTGAATAGGTGGTGGTTAGGATGGAGGTGGTCTTTTAAAATCGCCCTGGATTTGAAGAGACATCTATAACTGTCAATGGAGTCCAGGGAGGGGAGTGGATGGCCGATCACCTTCTTTGCAGTTCTCGTGACCCTCTGGAGTTTCTTCTTATCGGCTGTTGTGCAACCGGCGTACCACACGGAGATGGCGTGCACCAGCACATTGTGGCTGATAGAAGGACACTAGTAGGTCAATCTGCAGCCTGTTCCATCTCAGAACCCTCAAACAAGGAAGGTGCTGCTGGGCTTTCTTCACTAAGGCGGTTGTGTTTGTAGTCCAAGATAGGTCCTCGGAAATGTGGGTCCTAAAGAACTTAGAAGTTAAAGGAAGACTCTCCACATAGGTCCATGACCACTTGCTTGGTTTTCCTGGTGCTGAGGGTTAGGTTATTGTAGTCACGCCATTCTGTCAGATGCTGGACCACATCTCTGTAGGCGGTGTCGTCATTGTTAGTGATGAGCCTTATCAGAGTGCTGTCTGTGACTTCGATGATAATGTTGCAGGGATGCATGGGGATGCAGTCGCTAGTGTAGATGGACAGGAGAGGACTCAGCTCACATCCCTGTGGTGAGCCAGTGATGAGTGACAGGGTGGATGATCTCTGGTTGCCAACCTTGACAGATTGTGAGTTTTTGATCCATGTAGAAGAGGGGGGAGTCCAAGTTAACCAGCTTGGCTATGAGGATGTCTGGGATAATGGTATTAAATGGTGACGATGCTATTGATAACCAGCAGGGGTCGACTCCTTGGGCTGCACAAAGACGTGTGGTTGTATAGAAGTTTGTGGAATAACAGCCCTTTGGCTACACCAACCATGACACTACGCTGAAGAATGGGTAACATCATGATGGCATTACTTGCTGTATATGATACACTGAGAAAAAGTAACCTGAAACAAATGTGCAATGTTATACAGTTTTGGTCGTGTGATTAACAATTTTCAATGGCTTTTAAATACATTCGATATTTAATAATAATTTAACCTTGACAATTAAATTCACTTCGGAAAGTTTTCTCTCAGTCTTCTTACTTTTACAGTATTTGAGCCCTCTGATTTTTTCTCTCTCATGCAATCAGCAAGCAAATGAGTTTCAAGGAGCATCCCTAACTTTTATAAACCAAGCATTTCCTGCTCTACGTATGATTATCACACTGCACCTGTTTGATCAACAGAAAACGGCAGTATAAATGCAGAGAAGAATCTGTTTAAAACTTGGCAGAGCTGTGGCCAAGGTGGGAGCTCAAGAGGTGAACAGATGTGCACCGTTGGCTCTCTGCAGGGGCTTTCGATACATTCAGGCCACACATATACAAACACTCACACAAGAAGAGCAAAGGCTCTGGTCCAGTGGCCCACGGCATGTCTTTATCCTCCAACTCCCCCAAAGGCCCTTAAGCCCTGCAGCTACGCCTGCATGCTCTGCTCT